GCAGAGGCAGAGACGGAGACGGAGACAGAGGCAGAGGCAGAGACGGAGACGGAGACAGAGGCAGAGGCAGAGACGGAGACGGAGACAGAGGCAGAGGCAGAGCAGAGGCAGAGACAGAGACGGAGACGGAGACGGAGACAGAGACGGAGACAGAGACAAAGACAGAGACGGAGACGGATACGGCTGCGGAGACGGAGACGGAGACGAAGACAGAGACAGAGACGGAGACGGAGACAGAGGCAGAGGCAGAGACAGAGACGGAGACGGAGACGGAGACAGAGACGGAGACAGAGACAAAGACAGAGACGGAGACGGATACGGCTGCGGAGACGGAGACGGAGACGGAGACAGAGACAGAGACGGACAGAGGCAGAGGCAGAGACAGAGACGGAGACGGAGACGGAGACAGAGACGGAGACAGAGACAAAGACAGAGACGGAGACGGATACGGCTGCGGAGACGGAGACGGAGACGGAGACAGAGACAGAGACGGAGACAGAGGCAGAGGTAGAGGTAGAGACAGAGACGGAGATGGAGACGGAGACAGAGACGGAGACAGAGACAAAGACAGAGACGGAGACGGATACGGCTGCGGAGACGGAGACGGAGACGGAGACAGAGACAGAGACGGAGACGGAGACAGAGGCAGAGGCAGAGACAGAGACGGATACGGATACGGAGACAGAGACAAAGACAGAGACGGATACGGCTGCGGAGACGGAGACGGAGACGGAGACGGAGACAGAGACGGAGACAGAGACAAAGACAGAGACGGAGACGGATACGGCTGCGGAGACGGAGACGGAGACGGAGACAGAGACAGAGACGGAGACGGAGACAGAGGCAGAGGTAGAGACAGAGACGGATACGGATACGGAGACAGAGACAAAGACAGAGACGGATACGGCTGCGGAGACGGAGACGGAGACGGAGACGGAGACGGAGACAGAGACGGAGACAGAGACGGAGACAGAGCAGAGACAGAGGCGGAGACGGAGACAGAGCAGAGACAGAGCAGAGACAGAGGCAGAGACAGAGACAGAGACAGAGACGGATACGGATACGGAGGCGGAGACGCAGACAGACGGAGACAGAGACAGAGACAGAGACAGAGACAGAGGCAGAGACGGATACGGAGACGGAGACAGAGCAGAGACGGAGGCGGAGACGGAGACGGAGACAGAGCAGAGACAGAGCAGAGACAGAGACAGAGACAGAGACAGAGACGGATACGGATACGGAGACAGAGACAAAGACAGAGACGGATACGGATGCGGAGACGGAGACGGAGACAGAGCAGAGACAGAGCAGAGACAGAGGCAGAGACAGAGGCAGAGACAGAGACAGAGGCAGAGAGACAGAGACAGAGACGGATACGGAGACAGAGACAAAGACAGATACGGATGCGGAGACGGAGACGGAGACGGAGACAGAGACAGAGACAGAGACAGAGGCAGAGACGGATACGGAGACGGAGACAGAGCAGAGACGGAGCAGAGACGGAGGCAGAGACAGAGACAAAGACAGCGACAGAGACAAAGACAGAGACGGAGACGGAGACGGAGACGGAGACAGAGACAGAGCAGAGACAGAGCAGAGAGGAGCCGGAGCCGGAGCCGGAGCCGGAGCCGGAGCCGGAGCCGGAGCCGGAGCCGGAGCCGGAGCCGGAGCCGGAGCCGGAGCCGGAGCCGGAGCCGGAGCAGGAGCAGGAGCAGGAGCAGGAGCAGGAGCAGGAGCAGGAGCAGGAGCAGGAGCAGGAGCAGGACAGCAGCAACAGCAGCAGGAGCAACAGCAGGAGCACAGCAGGAGCAACAGCAAGCAGCAAACAGCAACAGCAACAGCAACAGCAACAGCAACAGCAACAGCAACAGCAACAGCAACAGCAACAGCAACAGCAACAGCAACAGCAACAGCAACAGCAACAAAACAGCAACAGCAACAGCAACAGCAACAGCAACAGCAACAGCAACAGCAACAGCAACAGCAACAGCAACAGCAACAGCAACAGCAACAGCAACAGCAACAGCAACAGCAACGAGCGCGCAATCCCCTGGGTGGATTTGTCGGGCTACTACGAACATGTGCGAAGCACAAGTTGAGAGACTACCTGACCTCAGTATGCAAAATGCCCACAGTGTGGCATCCCTTTTGTACGTTTTTCCCAGGAAGATTGTCCTCTTCGAGGCGGCGCCCGAGGCGCTGCGGCAGAGCCTTTGCGAGGCCGTGGTCCCCATGGATCTGCCGCAGGGCGCCGTCATTTTCCGCCAGAACCAGCCAGGCGAGGCCCGCGTTTTGAGGGAAGCCGCTTTCCAGTGGAAAGCCGTGGGTTGGACACAAGTCGCATGTCCCAATGTGCCAAGCCCGCCCTTCAAAGCGCGAGCGCAGGGTTTTGTAGGAGCCGTGCCCAGGGGACTGGATGTGCATCGTGCTTTCTGGGCGGCTGGAGAAGACGATTCTACGCGACCCAGCGGCACCTCCCATAGTCTTCGGCAGCTTGGCAAGCTCTAGGTCTCCTTCCCATCTCACTTTATTCGATGGGGCTCCCAGCCAAACAGGTGAAGTTTCTCCGGGAGGCATATGCGGAGACATGGGCCGCGGCCTGAGCAAGTCTTGTTATGAGCCAGTGGCGAGATAGCAGGCCGTAGCCGAAGCGGCGAGGCATGCTGGGCGTCAGCGAGCTGCGGAGCCATGGGTGCCACTGCGCAGAGAATTCCTCGGTGCTGCTCTTGTCTCGCTTGGCCTTCGACGCCTTGGTGGACATGAAAGGACAGGCCCTGTGGCTCTCTTCTACGTGTTTTTTCTTTTGGGGGGGGGAGGGGGGGTCATGGTCATGCCTCCCTTAGATTCGTGAGGAGGGCTTGAGGAGTACCCACTGCTCAAGCACCTGGAGAAGATGCAGAATCTGTCTGGCCCGGCACCAGTTCGATCCGTTGCCGCCATTGCCGCCATTCCGACAGGCGACACCGACGCCTTCTGCGACTTGCCTTGCTTTGCCAAGATGGAGCGCTGTTCGTATGTTGCAACTGCAATGAGTCAAGCCTTGCACCCGGGATCCCGGGATGGCACTCGATGTCAGGAGCGAGCCTTCGTGAAGCACACCTGCGAGCACTTGGAGCCCAGGCGCCGGAGTGTCGCAGCCCAGCTGAGAGCGACCCGTGCCCAGGCTGTACTATCCGGGCATGGCGCTGATGAAGGAGCAATTGTAAATCGCGTGCACCACGCAGAGGTAAGTTGGCTTGACATCTGCCAGGAGGGTGAAATGGGCTTTGAAATGTTCATTGTGCACTTGGGGAAAGTGGAAGTGTTGCTACTTGGCTTCCATTTCAGGTCACAATGTCGAATGTTGCGCCGGCTTTGCCTTCTTCTCCTTCTCCTTTGATCTGTGTTCGGCTTTGAAGCTTGAATTGTCTGGACCAAGGAAAGGGAGCAAGAAGGTGGCAGAGCTCGGCGGCGGAGTTGTTCTGGGCACGCCAAGCATTTCCGCCAGTTTGCAATCCACCTTGACGTGTCCTTCCTTGGGCATTTCTCGTTTGGCCTCCCGCGTGAGGGGATGTGGCCGTCTTTGGATCCGACAAGCGCCGGACTGCAACTGCGCCTGGGCAACATGTGCTTGCAGGCCAAGTTTTAAACAAAAGAAAATGGGACGCAGGTGAAATGCGTCGAGCCGACTTTGATCTACGTCTTGAATGGGGACATCGTCCACCAAACTTTGGACAAGCGCCTTGGCCATCGGCAGCCACCAAAGCGCAAAGCGCAACGCGCAACGCGGGAGCTCTTGGGGCCACCAAGGTACCCTGAGACGAAGAAGGTCCATGATCATGACTACATCACGCGCCTCCTGAGGTTTGAGCTGGAAAAGGCAGCTTGCAGTGCGAACTTGAGTGTGGCAATGGCATGACTTGTTGTCCAATCACGGATTACGTTGCACAGGCAAAGGAAGGTAGGTATGTCAGAATGTTTTTTAGTTATTCGACAGCAGAGTGAGGGAGCAAGGAAGCAAGGCCTTTCAGTGATTTCCTCCGGAGGTCGCCGAAGAAGTTGATCACCTGGAAAACTTCTACGGGAAGTGCCATCCAATGAGATCGGAAGAGGCCTGCTTCCGCTCCGATGCCTGGGTGAGCGGGCTGAGCTGGTGCGGCCAGGTGGGTCACAAAGTCTTCGGCAGAGATCTGGACGACTCTCGGTGAGTTTTTGTGTTTCCTTTTTTTATGCGCGGGCCCGCGCCTGGCCTGAGGTGAAGTGAAGCGACGTGGGCGAAGACCGCCCGTGGCCTCCGGCGAAGCTGATCGGGCCTGCGCAGAGTTCAGAACCTGAACCGCGCGCGTCACGCCCAGCGCGTTTGCGGAGCGCAGTCGCGGGGCAAAGTGGACAGTGCAGAGTGGTTGCCCTGCCCTTTTCAGACCTTGTGGTTGCACGGGGGTTGCTTTCAATTTGTTGGCAAAATCTATTCGCGTCCTGATTTTGGAAGGCCGCGTCAGAAGCGCAGCATGCTAGGTGTTAGGATGTGTTAGGTGTTTTGCAATGCCATCGTTGTTCGCGCCTTTTTTTGAAGACACCAGTTTGTTTCCTGGCTAAAGCACGACTCCAATGTTGTGTGCTGCCCTGGCCCGCAAGACCCAGTCATACCGCTTCTGAACTGGTTCAAATGCGTGCAGCGGCTGTGTCATCGGCCGAATCCGCGTGACCTGCGGACAATGACAACCATTCGGCCATGGCTCATGTTCTTGCTGCTTGGCTGCATTTTGGTTCGCTCAAGCAACCTACTTCCTCTTTCGAAATTGCTTGCTGGCAATTCGCATTTAATTGCAAAGCCACACCGTTCTCAGGCTGCTGGCATGGAATCTGGAGGCTTGCTTGGGTCGGCACGGGGAAGGATTCCATCCCTTGCCTCAAGGCGGTGCTGTTGCGAAGATCTACGCTCCGCATGCCCAGCAAGTGTCACTGGCAGGTTCATGGACTAGCTGGCACCCTGTGGATTTGGTGGATGTAGGGCAAGGCTGGTGGGAGCTGAACATGTCCAGCGACCCAACGACAGACTACCTCCTCCGGGTGGGCGCTGCCTACAAGATCCACATTGTCTCCGCTGGGGAAACATACTGGCGCCCAGACCCTTGGTCTCGTTCACAGGACGGCACGCCCTTGGGGAACTCCATCTCCTACTTTGATGACAAGTTTCACTGGACCGACTCCGGGTGGTCCATGCCTGACTGGAACGAGCTTGTCATCTACGAATTGCATGTGGGAACCTTCTGTGCGTACCCTGGTTGGCTCACGTCAGCAACGCTAGACATGTGCATCCACAAGCTGGACCATTTGGTCGAGCTGGGTATCAACGCGGTGGAGCTGCTGCCGGTGGCGGAGTTTGACGGCAAGGTGGATTGGGGCTACACCACGGCCTACCCGTACGCGGTTGAGGAGGCCTACGGGGGCCCGGATGCCTTCAAGCGCTTCGTGGACGCCTGCCACGGCCGGGGCATCGCCGTGTTGCTGGACGTGGTGTACAACCACCTGGGGCCCATGGACCTGCCCACCTGGCAGTTCGATGGCTGGTCCGAGAACGGCCTGGGCGGGATCTTCTTCTACAACGACCACCGGGCAGAGACGCCCTGGGCCCACACACGGCCCAACTACGGACTGAAAGAGGTCAGGGCGTACCTCATCGACAACGCGCTATTCTGGCTGAACGCGATGCACTGCGATGGCTTGCGAGTGGATGGCGTCAGCTTCATCCGGCTCTGGGGAGGCACGGTGGTCAACCGAAGCCTGGCCACCTTCAACCCGGAGGGGGAGCGCTTCTTGAAGGAGCTGAGCCAGGCTGTGCAACGCACCGGGAAGCTGCTGATTGCAGAGGACCTGCAGTCCAACAGCTCGCTCACCAGCCGGACTCACGGCCTGGGCTTCGACTCGCAGTGGGACGGGCAGTTCCACTGGACGGTGCTGAACCAGCTGAAGCGGCCGGACCATTGGCGCAGCATGGCGCAGCTTCGGGAGGCGGTGCTGGGCGCTGGCGAAGGCCTGCGGCGGGTGATCTACACGGAGAGCCACGACGAGGCCAGCCGCTTCCGCCTGCCTCTGGCCATCGCAGGGCGGGACAGCTGGGTTGGCAGCCGGCTGTCGGCTCTGGGCTCGGCGCTGACTCTGCTGAGCCCCGGCATTCCCATGATCTTCCAGGGCCAGGACTTCGCTCTCCAGGAGCCCTTCACTGCCTACAAGCCCACGAACTGGCTGCACAAGCTGACGCACGCGGGCACCTTCAAGCTGCACCAGGACCTCATCAAACTCAGGCGGAACCTGCTGAAAACGAGCCGGGGGCTTCTCGGTACTGGTGTGAACGTGACCATCGACGAGGAGGCTAAGGTTTTGACCATCCACCGGTGGCACACTGAAGTGGATGAGGCCGCAAGTGCTGCAAGCGCTGCAAGTGCTGCAAGCGGTGGCGATGTCTTCGCCATCTTCAATTTCCAAGGCCAGGCCTTGGCGGGTTATCCCGTCGCGTTTCCGGGTGCTGTGGCCCCTGTGGCATGGACTCTTGCCGTGAACACGGCCGATGCGCGGTACCACAACGTCGCCACGGTCTTCCGCAGTTCCGAGCTCAAGGACCCTGGCCAGGGTGGGCCACAGAGCAGGGAGAGGTCTGCGTCCAGCTTGGGCACTGACGCGTCGCTTGGCCAAAGTACGAACCCAGGTCCCTCGAAGTCCCTCATTCTCACAGTTCTCACAGTTCTCACATTGTCATACATTTTCTCCAAACACTCCGGTGCACTAAGGGCACTGAGGGCACTAAGGGGCTTGCCTGCCTAAGCTTCCATCGGTTCTCCATTCAAGAAAATGCAAGCTAGAATTCGAGTTGCTTTGGCTATTTGCGTTCCATTTCTTTGAACCCAATTTGTTCCTCCCGCGGATCCCGTCTTTGCTTTCGGTTTTGTTCGTGGCCTGTCATTGTCATTATCCTTCGTTGTTTCACAAAGCTGATTCACTTGCGCGACATGTCGCACGAATCTCGGTATGGTGCTGTTTTGTTGGCTTCCGATGTCGCGGCTTTAGGTTCCTGCACCCTTACAGCTGCCAAGTCTACACACTGCGGTGAGGCGGCCCACCGCACGAAGTCTGCAGACCGTGCGGAATGATCCCCGGGGCTGCCTACAGTCTGCACTGCCATGGAATTCGCTTGATGGTGTGCGCCAGCTCTAGATGCCGCGGTGGGCATCCAAAATTTTGCCGTTCACCTGGCTCGGCCTTTCGAGGTGCAATATGGATGTGACCAGCGCAGTGCATGCTGCAGTTCTCACCTTGTTATGCTCTACGGGATGCTTGCTACAGTGCACAGAGCACTGCGTAGATTGAACAGGGGCGGCGCTGGAACTGCCTGAGTGGAGCGGCTTCATTTTTACAGATTCATTCCTCCGAGCCAGAGGATTTGTACAGCCTGGCTTGCCGTGCCTGAAATCAAGTAGAGTTGAGAAGATCACACTGGCTGTCCAAGATGGATGATTTGCCCGTGTGATTGCATGCAACTTGGCATTCCCCGTGCTCTGCAGATGCCTTGCTTCGTCGGGCAGGGGAATCTAAGCCAGGTCTCTTGCTGAGGTCTGGACCTGTCCATGACCTCCCTTAAGCTGTGAACTAATTGTAAGATGTCTTCGAGCTGCCTCCAGCAGCATGCTTCCTGCTCACAAGATAGCCCTGGATTTGGCGTTGAAGAGGAACGCTTCGCGCAAAAGTGCTCCATGCGCGAGCGTTTCTGCATGGCCCACTCAATCTCTTGGCACAAGCTGTTCTGAGCTGCTCATGCCGTGCCTGACGCACAGATTTACGCTGCCGCGAATCTCTGAGGGAGGCAGCATACACCCAGCTTTCATCGATGTTACTCTAGTGGTGATCAAGGCAGGAAAGATATGGCAATACCATGCATCACAATCAGCCAGCCCAGCAAAACAGCGAGAAGAGTCTGTGCGAAGCTGCTCGGGGCAATGGGGCTGCCGAGCAGCAACGGCGCATAGCTTGCAGCATCTCATGAGAGCGCTCACGGATTTCGATGTGGACTGGACGGATGAGGTCCTTGCGGCTGTTGGTCTTGGGCGGCGTTTTGAGCTCGAAGAGATAGAGGAACCAGCCGATCTCGAAGCCCCCAAGCCAGCAGCTCCAGCTGCACCAGCTGCACCAGCTGCACCAGCTGCACCAGCTGCACCAGCTACACCTTTGCCTTTGCCGTCTCCGATGCTGGAAGTCCCGCCAACTCCAGACACATCTCCAGGTTTGAGGCCGACGCCCTCGCCGCGCTTGCCGCACGCTCACACCCCCCGCACCCCCCACACCCCGCAAATCCACTCTCCGCCCTCACCGCCCTCCCCGTTTCGGCTGGAGCCAACTCAGCCGCCGACCCCCTTTGTGGAGCCGGTCCTCCCAGGCGAGAGAAGAGTGAGGTCAGGCGGTCAGGCCGTTGACATTTGCTGCGTGGTTGCGCGTGTTGCTGTTTCTGTTGCCACGGGCCTATGGGCTTGCTGTGCCCTGTCCGGAGGCCCGATGCCGCCTCCAATGCGCGCCCCCAGCGTGCCTGCGAAGAAGGCACGTGGGTGCGTGCAGCTGGTGAAGCTATTGTGAGACATAAACAGTGTTCGCTGTCAGGAGCGAGCAGCTGCTGAGCCAAGCGTTGGTGAACCTCCCAAAGGCTTGGCAGATGTTGCAAAGCAAAGCTGAGTGGGCACGAAGCAAGTGCATGAGGTGCCCTGCAGATGCTGCTGAAGATGCAGGGCGCTCACGGTGTCAGCGACACGCGCTGCAATCTTCCGGTTGCCAAGACAGGGGCCCTGAGAGAAGCAGACTGAGCCTCGGCGCTGCAACGCCAAATGGACTCTTTTTTTTGGCACTTGTGGTGTGCAGGATTGTTTTTTTCTACTAGGTCTTTTCTCAAAATTAGGGCTGGTTGGTTGGTTGGTTGGTTGGTTGGTTGGTTGGTCGGTCGGTTGGTTGGTTGGTTGGTTGGTTGGCCGCATCCCGGCATCACCAGCCTCACCTTGCCCTGGGGTTGTTGCCTATTGGCTGTGATTGGTGGCAGTTGGGAGCTGCTGGGGGGTTGTTTAAGTTAGGGGCTTTTTGGCTGGCTTAGATCTTCATGACGGTGGGTCTTGGTCCACTGTGGTGTGTATTGTGCCTGTGTATTGTGCGTGTCTGTCTGTCTGTCTGTCTGTCTGTGTGTGTGCGTTTGTCTGTATCAACATTTCATTTTAGCTGCTTTTGAAACAACGGTGACTGATGGAAAGCTGAGTCAGATTGGCCTTGCCTGAGCCAGGTCTGCTACGGCAGCTACTTAGGCTGCCAGACTTTCATGATGTCCTGCTGACGGGCCTTGGGCTGCCGAATCCTGGGGCCGCGCCTGAGCGTGAGCCCTTTGCCAGGCGCTACCGAGGCATCTGGGGCCTCCTACGGCCGGGCGCGGCGACGCCAGCGGCCCTGCCGTCGGCGCCAGCGCCGGCGCTGTCGACCGTGCCGCCGGCGCCGACGGCGCCGACGGCGCCGCCCACACGGCCGAGGTACCAAGCCCAAGGTCGCGAGGACGTCGCCGAGGCGCCGGAGAAGGCCCCTGCGCCGGAGAAGCGCCGGCAGCCGCAAGGCGAAGCGAGGCGGAAGCGAACCAACGTGCCCAAAAAGCAGCGTGGACATCGGAGGGCTCAACCGGGGTGCATTGTGCACGGTGTATTTGCGAAATGGCTCGGAAGCTCAGAGGTGCAACACAGCATTCAATCATGTGAAGGAAAACTTTGCCAGGCTTCCAGGTACAAGCAGAATTGGGAAAGCATGGTTAAGTACCGAGCTTCTTGCACAGTTTGCCTGTATGTTCTGCGTCCAACGGGCGGGCAGTTGGCCGGACCCAGCGGAGAGCTGGCGCCATGGGGCAAAGTGCGAGCACTTGGCTCTCCCCGGCGCCCGATGAGTTGCTGGCAGAGTTGAGGTTATTCTCCATGGAGGTGCGGATGCATGCATCAAATCAGGCAATGCATGAATGGGCCAGCCAGTCAAAACAGAAAGAGAGCCCCGATGGCCACAAAGCGCAATGCTGAAGAGGCAGGTAGAGCTGTGTTTGGAGAACGGTGTCCCTGAATTCCTGAATGAGCACATGAGTCAGGCAAGTAGCTCGCTAGAACCAATTTGTTAAACCTTACTGTATGTAGGGGGAACTCAAGCTTGAACAAGAAGCGCAACCATGAGAAGGCCACGGCAGCATGCGGTGACAACATGGAGCATCCAAGCTGTGCAGGATCATGCCCCCATGAGAAAGCTTAGTTGGCTCGTGCGCGACCAGCTTGAAGATGCTGAAGACAGAGGGAGGGAGAGAAACTGACAAGTTCAGAGTCACTCCCATCATCTTTTGGAATTATGATGATGGGAATTAAGTCACCACATCACTAGCAGCAATCAGCATGGTTTACTGTCCCATTTCCCAGGCCAGCGGCAGCCATGTTAAAAAAAAGGTTGACCATGGCTCGTTCGCCAAACGCTTGATTCATTGTCGCTTTCCTTGAGGGGTCCGCCAGCAAACATGGGACGATCATGCTAATGAAAGGCAGCTGCATCGGGAAAGTTGTGACCACGATGTGGACAACTACCATGAGCCACAAGCAACACCCACCAGCACGAGGGGCACCTAATTCGCGAACACAACAACGGGCACCACGGGCGCGGTCCCAGAACGTACCTGCGCGTGGTGCCAGTAAGCCCGTGCCCGTGGTGCCCGTGATGCTCGTGCCCGGGGGCCGTCATGCGCTGGACGCCTGCTAATGTGATGCGCTACTTTCTTCTGCTGGCCGATGCAAGCGTTTTCGATGTCGCGAAAGCCAGCTTCGAAGAGCCACCGCAATTACACAAAGAGCTTCTTTACTGCTATTGGGTTGGATTTGTAGACTTTGACTTTTTGGGGAAATCAAGGGGTTTTCCACTAAGCCACCAAAAAGTTAAACTTTTTGCAGGGGGTCAACAGCAACCAAGGCTTGACACCTGAATTTGACACTTGAATCCGACCAAAGGTGTGCCGAGGCCAGTCAGGGGCTGCGGGTACAGATTTTTGACAGGCTTGGGCCCTGGGGTTGGAAGGTGATTCATTGAGCTCGGCCCCAAATTCTTCAACTGTCACGGTTGTCACGGCAAGAGACCCCAAAAAAACGTCAACACGGCAGTGTCCCATCCTCTTGCTATGCTGTGAATTGATGCTGTGCGTGATGCTGCGCACGATTGCTATGGCATGATGTTGCGCCTGAACGCTGTGCATGACGCTGTGCACGATGTTGCCCACGATGCTGTGCGTGATGCTCCCTCTTGAACCTCTCTGGCGGTTTTTCTGCGGAAGTGTGCTTCGGAGCCTATTTTCGCGCTTGCAAGTTGTGATCTTCAAGCTGGAGATGCGGAAGTGTAATTCAAGTGCTGCTTTTGCATTTTAAGGTTGCAATTTGCGAGGCAGAGATGCGAGCGTGCACTTGCCGAACGTTACCCCCGTTCTTGCAAAGTTGTGATTTTCGAGCTGGAGCTCCGAGAGCGCACTTCGCGCTCTACCTTTGCACGCAGAAACTTGCGATGTTTCAGCCGGAGACGCGGGAGCGCGCTTCGCGTGCTACGTTGGAACTGACAATGACTGACAAGTCGCGCGCTACTTTTGTACTCAAAAGATGCGTTTTGAACTGTGTCTCTGCCATCAACAAAGCGATATCACGCGCAAAGTTCACACGGCGCCGCAACGGGGCGTGTTTCGTGCAAGACTTCCGCACCGAAGGAAACTTTTGCGCACACTGCCAACACTTTGATCGCGAACCCTCGATCTAACCCAGCCCTGACTCTTACAAACAGGACAACACGTGCAAACATGTTCTCTGATTAGGGGATTCAGCCTAGTTGACCACCCCTTCTTCCTTCCTTCTTTGCTTCAAGGACGGTTCAAACTGGACAGATTTCAGTGGCAGAACGCTACGTTTTAAGACAAGCTTTTGAGGGCTTGGCCCGGGAACTTAGTTGGGCGAGTGGGACGTTCCATTCTTATTATGGGAAGGCTGTCTTGTTCGCTGAGTACGTGGGTCTGCCTGTCGCCTGGCCACTGCGACGGTCACTCCTTGACCAGCCAGCTTGTCACGCATTGAGGCCTGCCCCTGCCGGTGATGCCTGCGGGCATATGCGCATGTGCCGTGTTTACTGGCCTGAGCCCGTGGTGCCGCCACCCGTGGTGCCCATACGCACTAATGGCCCACGCCCGTGGGCCCGTGGTGCCGCCCGTGAGCCTGCAGGGCCTATGGACCTGTGGTGTTCCTTTGAACTCTTGCGCTCGTGATCCTGTGCGTGATGCCCGTGGTGCGTGCGCGTGCGCAGTGTGTGCACTTGCAGGGCCGGTGAATCCCGTGGTGCCCGTGAGCCGTGCCCGTGAAGCCCGTGTTCCTTAAGCATACCGATCTCGGCGGGGGCTTTTTACAAGGCTTCTTACAAAGCCTTATCCTTGCAAGTCTTCTTACAAGCCTGCGCGTGTTTCGCAAGTTGGCATCCTTTTTTGAATTAGGCGTGCGTTGTTTTACCTGCAATTATTGGGCGGTCTCCACCAGCACCACAAACAGCACCCAATCAGGGATGAGACACGGATGACAGCATGGCATTGCCCGTTGCGGAGGCACCCGACAGCTATTGGGGCGCTCGCGCCGCAGCTCGCCTTGCCCCAAGTATTGGTGACGGCCGACTCCGTGCGAGCCAAACAAGTGTCAGGCTTCCACTGGGCGGTGAACATGAACAACTGGAACCCTGAAGGAGGATCAGAGGGGGAGGAGTTCAGGCTACTGCCGCTCACCTGCACCTCTGCACCCTGTGCGGTAAGTTGTTGATGGGATTGAGGTTGTCGCTGCTACCGGACGAAGAGCAGCAAGCTGTGATGCAGTACAGGGCCTTGTGGTGCCCTTATCATTGGAGCCACGTAACGCAGTGCGGGCGGCTGCTTGCGGGTCTGTGGGGCTGCCCAAGGCAAGACCGGAAGAGAACTTTGACAGGGCGATTGTTGTCACTGCGTGCGTGCGCGCAGGCATTTTTTTTTTGGGGGGGGGGAAATACATAAAATGGCACTTCTAACATCAAACCCAAAAAATCAAACAGCATACAACAAAATCAGCAAAATTCACAGAAAACAAGATAAGAACCACCAAGCAACTCAAAAACCAGAACAACCCCCAACAAAATATTTAATCAAAGCATAAAACATTAAATAATTCAAACAAGCATACCAACAAAACAGCAAAAATAAAAACCATCAAAGAACACAAACTCAAAAACACACATCAACAAAAACAAAGCAACATACCAACAAAAAATATCAGAAGAGTATCAAACAAAATAAAATACAAACAGCCAAAGCACGAAAAAATCAAAAGAGCATACCAAGTTCAAACAACGCACTTTGAAAGAGATAACCAAATCAAGAAAAATTAAAATATTTTAATCTTTACAAACTATAAGTACAGTATAATCATAACATATAAGATTTTACACGTTATTATTATAGTATGGTTAAGAGAAAACTACTGTATTGCTTGATGTGAAAACCACATTGTGAAAACCACATACCCCTATGTGAAAACCACATACCCCTACGTGAAAACCACATACCCCCTATGTGAAAACCACATACCCCTATGTGAAAACCACATACCCCTATGTGAAAACCACATACCCCTATGTGAAAACCACATACCCCTATGTGAAAACCACATACCCCTATGTGAAAACCACATACCCCTATACGAAAACCACATTGTGAAAATCACATTGAGGAAACCACATTGCGAAAACGTCACCATTGTTTGACAATGGTTGTCTTATGTTTTGGTTGTGCTTAGTTCATCACACTCACCAAAATTTCACTGATTAAACTACTAGGTATTTTATAAAAATCTTCCTGCTTATGTATTGTTGGATTGTCTCCCCATTTTTCCTTAGTGCCCGATGGTAGCCGTTGTGCAGTTTCAATATGTTTGTTATTCCTGATGTTGCCACAATCCTTTTTACATAAATCTCTAGGTTTCCAAGTTGTAATGTTATTCCATAGCCTAGTGCGTTTTCTGTAAGGCATTCCATATTTACAATAATCTACATCTTTAAAATCAAACTCATCCATAAACTCCTGATTTTTTAATAATCCAGTTTGAGGATTTTCGATTACAAAATACTTAGGATTGAAATATTTGATAATTTCAATAGTTTTTAAGACAATACTATTTGCATATTCGATATTCCTAATTCCCCTAGTTTTTGCAACACTATATTCAGTGCATGGGGGACTACTCCAAATAAAATCAAAATGGTTCCTATCAAATTGTTTATAATCCCATTTCAAAATATCAGTATTTATATCAGCATTTTTCAAATCCAATGAAATAACATTGAAACCGAGCGACTTTGCAACAAGTCCAACACTGCCTGTTCCGCTAAACATCTCTAATAAGTTCATTATTAAAGATATTTAGATAATATTATCTATGAGTAAATGCAACTTTATGAATAAACCCCTGTATCTTCATCATAGTCGATTTGATAAAATG